ATACCTTTTTTATATTATTATACTAGGAATTATCCACGCATTGCATGAATTTAAAAATTAACATGATAAAATATGCAATAGTTTTTAGCTTATTGATTATTTGTGAATTTAATATTAAAATCATTTGGTGATTATAGTAAATATTATTTAGGTTAGAAGACTAAACATTTGTAACCAATTATTGATACAATGTTACATGTAAGAATACTATTCATTAATATAAATTTGTATATGAATTGACACAAACTTGTAGGATACATATATTATGTGAGATAATACAAATGTAAAGTAAAGTTAAAAAAATATGATTTGTCTTTTTTTTTTCTTGCATCAAACACGTTCGTAAAGAAATTTATTGATATGCATCACCTCAACATAAATGTTGGAATTCGTTTCTATGTTCGAATTTTAATTGCACTAATTGGTTTTTTTTTGGTGTGTTATTAAGTTTAGAGAAAAAACTTTAAAATCTTAAAATTTTTAATATTATTATTGGGTTTAATAAATAAAATATTTTCCAAATGGTTAAAATTTTATAATAACATATTTAATTTGGAATAATAATTTTTTGTGGGTAAAAAAAAAAGACAATGTATAATACATATTATAGCTTATTAGACTTAATTAACATTAAAATTAGCTATTAAATTGTTATAATTAATTGTCAAAGTTATTGGAAAAGAAAAAAGAACACATTTTTTTTTTGCTTGAATAAATAAATTTTAAAGACAAATATCAAAATAGTAAGTGACACATGACATCCTCTCATAACTTTAAATTAGAAAAACATTACTATGTTATATAAGATATGTATGGTTACTATCATGATACATAAAATTCTACCATTCAAATGCTGCTAATATGCTATGGAACCAAATGATATGATTATATACAAATATGTTGGGTCAAAATTCCTACATATATCGCAAATAATAAATTATGTGATTTTTTAGAAAATGGGCCATTTATATCCGAGACAGATCCAATGAGAAGATAATACCTAATTAATACGAGTATGATTTTAATTTATATCCGAACGATTAAAATTCAAATATTAATATCGGAAATAATAATATATTGTCTTAACCTGCATTGACCTAGATCTTGTTAGTCAACTATGTTCACTGTTTCCAATCTCGTTAACGATGATGAATATGATCCGTGAGTTTATCTCATCTCAACATTCAACTCAAAATCCGGTTAGAACCCTAACAGTACTTTACATCATATCTTCTACTGCAAACATACTTAATCGTCTGCTTTCCTTCAAGTTCACATAAATTAACTCACAAATTTCTTATTCGTCCACCGAATCACTCGAATTATTTCCTTTTCTCAATAGTTTTTGAAATGAAAATCTAAAATTTCTCTCTTCTCTAACATGAAGAACATCCGAAGCACACTCTATATTTATTAATTTCCATAATAAAACAAAATGACGATGTTTTACCTTAAACGAAATTGAAGTTCATTTGGCAAAACAGTGTCGCCTCTGGCGTGTATTGTTTAACATTCAACATGCAATCGTTTAACCGATCACCTAGAATTCTACTAAACATCAACTAACGTAGTTGATTAACAACATCTACGTCAATGTGAGTTAAGACACTATATTACTATTTTAGACATGGAAATTTCAATTTTTAATTG